CTGGACTACACCGACTCCTAGATTAGAAATAGGGAGTGAAGCGGTAGAGCACGTTGACCGCTTCACTTATTTGGGAAGTACCATCAGCCCCAATGGGTTGGTCTCTGATGAAATCTCAGAACGGATACAGGGGGCTCGTTTCGCATTTGCCAGTTTACGCCATCTCTGGCGTAGAAGAGATATTCGACTATCGACCAAAGGGCGGGTGTACTGCTCAGCAGTCCGCTCCGTCCTCCTTTATGGCAGGCTGTGAGACCTGGCCATTGAGAGTGGAAGACATGAAAAGATTAGCTGTTTTCAATCATGGGTGCCTGCGTTCTACCTCCCGTGTGAAATGGTATAATAGGGTGAGCAATATTGAGGTGTTGTATCGATCGAGTGCTAGGTAAGGAGGTAGGGTAAATCAATCTATAAGGTTGTGAAGTAGCTACACCGATTGAGATGGTTAGAATATGTGTTACGGATGCCTAGTCATCGCCTTTCTAGACGAGCAATGTTAGTGGATATAGGGTCAGGCTGATAAAAAGCTAGTGGCGGTCAAACAAAAACATGGCACCAGTCAATGAAATCTACAACAGTTAGTTTCAGCCAGCCACATAGGAAGGTGTAGACTTCCTGGCCAGTTGGGGTCCTCGTGACGGTAAAAACCAATGGTTGGAAACAATTGGTGACATGGCTCAAAATCGTTCTCAATGATTGCACACAGATGCATCCACTCCTTGTGACTTATGATTTCCAATGAAACTGTTTTGTTCTTCGTTATTACTCTTCCTTTGTCTCACACTTCTGTTTACTGTCTCTATTATGCTTTTCTTGCACTTTCTTCTCTTGCTTGGTATGCTACAAGGAGGGAGTGTGGCGACTTGAACTCCCGCACATATGTGTAAAGTGCTATGTCGAAAACAGACAGACAGACAGATAGACTAAACTTTCACTGTCTTGGTAACCGTAATTATTTTGTTCATGTGTTTTAGAGTTTTTCCCTCCACTTACTGAGGTGAACTCATGATTAAGTTTACAAAATTACTTAATTGTTTGTCTACGTCATAAGTGTATTCTTACTGTTCACTACTACCCTCTTAAAATTCTCTTATGTCAAGTACGTTGGGCTGAGTTTTTCCACCGATCTTTCCTGGTCTTCCCACATCTTGCTAGTCAGTTACTAGAAAGATGTTTCGCTTAACGTTCTACATTAGGAAATTTAGGCAGTCTGGTATAAAGCAGTCTTTGCTTTCTCAGTTTGTAAATTCTTGTATTCTACCCATCCTCCTTTACTGCTCCCCATTAGTCTTTCCTGGACTACTTAAGAAAGACTTTGCTTCGCTGAGAAGGGCACTAAAAGCTGTTAGTAGGGCAAGTGGGATATCGTTAAACCAACTGGTGAACACTATTGTAGATAGACATATTATATCATGTAAGAAACTAGCGAATACAATATTGTCGGACCCCGAGAATCCTCTCTATACGCATCTGTCTCCTTGCATTTCATCTGGTAGAACTAGAAGCAGCTATAGGCGGGTATATGCTAGGACTACCAAATACAAAAACTCCACAATACCATATCTGGCACAGCTGTTATGTGATGAGAAATCCGTTAGGTATGACACGATAAACTTACTGCAGCACTCTAAAAAATAGTCTCATTAGTTTTTGTTTTCCTTTCCTCGTTACTACTACACTGTTCTCATCTACTACCACACATCAACTTTATATTTCAAATCCTGTGGTGCATTGTTTGAAATGAAATACTCTACGCTGTTTTTTTCTTAATTTTTAATATTTATTTATTTTATTTATTTATAACTTATTTATTTTATTTTTATTTATTTATCTTTGATTTTTAAAAATCTTATATAATTTATGAGGTAATTAGATGCAATATACTGTAATGCACGCTGAAAATTCCATACCTGTACCGCAAATACTGTTTGGAATAAAGCTGTTATTATTAAAAAAAAATTACTATATTATGTATAAATTATTTCTGTTGTTCGGTGTTTAATTCTGTCTCTAGTCCATATTTCCTTGTATCCATGAAAAATCTGAACTCTACCCTCTTGTCGAAATATATCGTAAATAGCTGACCTTTTTTAACAGTCAATAATCTGTATACTCACATCACTGTTTTTTGGAATTATTTTGCTTATACCTTCTGTCTATAATAACTCGATGTTAGTGTCGAGAAAGTATGTTCATATTTGATATTGTTTAGGATGTATGTGGTCGAAAAGGTCCCACGAAATAAAACCAGCTCGTGTTATGAAATAACGGAGAAGATTTGTGGCTCAGAAAGTTGATTTTGATTTAGTTGTCTTCCCTGACCTAGTTGATTTAACTGCGAACCTTTCGTTGTCCTTCCTTCTAGGCAACATCTTAAACTAACGCAGGTTTCAGCATAAAATAGACTTATTTAAATTCACCATGTGTTTCGGTGCCACAGCGGTTAGGACACTCACCGACCATGCACATGGTTTGGGATTCGATCTCCGGCCACCAACGCACTCCTTTACCTCGCTGAGCCAGAAATAAAGCTGGTAAAGAGGGAAGGTCACGGGAGCATAAGGCTAGCAACCCCATTCACTAAAAATAAACACCTCTACAGAAGCTTAAATCCTCTAGCTTGAAAACCTATGTTCCATTGGGAACGTGAAGGGATGAAAAAATTCCCCACAAATGATGTAATTATATATTCTGACAACCATTGTAGTGATTAGTTGTTAATTTACGCGTCTGTTGATCATTTTTATTGACTTGTAATTTGAAACTCCTTGTCATGTGATTTATTTTCTGTTAGTTGGCAAATTTGGTGTATTGTAATGTGTTTGTTACTACTAGATGGTTGGAGGCAATCGGCAGGAATCCTAGTTACTGATTAGTTTCCACTCAAAAAATATCCAATACAGTCAGTCCTAAAGGAGGCCAGTCGAGAGCCTGAATAGCTCAGTGGTAACGTCTCTGTATGCAGCACTGGGTGACGCGGGTTCGAATCTCGGAAGGGACATGGGTTGCTTCAAGTTTGCAGATACGCCTTGCTGACTAGGACTGCCAACTAGCACGAAACCTAGGTCCAAGGCTTCCTGCCGATTGCCTCCAACCATCTAATACCAACATTTCACAGTGCATCGTAATGGCAAGCCACCGCTAGCATGGTAGCCACATTGCAAGCTTAACTGATAGAATTCAGTCTGCACTGAAGATAGGACTAGACATGTTGCCCTAGTTACTGACTAGTGCCTAACCAAATATGTGTTTGCTAGTTGCTGATTCGCTTGAGCACCTGGTTTGTAGAAACTGCCTGACATTTTTGGTGTTTCCTCTATATTTAGATTATTTTACATAATACCAGTCAAGTTGGTGTCTATATGTATGAATGCATATCGTGTCTTTTCATAGCTGATTTATGTTCTTGAATTCTGATTCACTGGGGACGACCACTTTGACCGACGTAGTGTTTATCGCATTTTATTCAATTTATTTTGGTAATTGGCATTGATCTTGTCTTCTTCTAAGTCTGCACACTAGTCAATGAAGTTATCATGTTGGCTTGCGTGCTATATCCTTGTATTTAGGATATCCATTCTTTTTGAAGACATTTAGTAGGTTATTGAATTGGACTTTTTGATTTTCCCGTCGATTGATTGGACTGAAGTGCTCGGTCTCAGGGTGACATGTCGGCTTCTTGTGCGGATGCTTCGACGATGTCTGGGTATTTAGTTGGTATACAAGTGGTGGATGGTGACTAGCAGTGGAATCCAGGATGCGCATTTCGTCCTATTTGGGACTCGTCATCTGGATGTACCTGCATTTCTCAGTGAGTGATGACGTTCCCACTGAGGCTCGAACCCAGTACCCATAGTTTCGAACGCCAAAAAAAAATCCAATTCAATAATTAATATGATCCGTTGCACAAGAGGTGGCTCTCGTGGCCCAAGTGGTCTAGTGGATAACGCTTTGGCGTTCGAAACTATGGGTACTAGGCTGGAGTCTCGGTGGGAACATCATTACTCACTGAGAAATGCAGGTACATCCAGATGACGAGTCCCAAACAGGACGAAATGTGCATCCTGGATTCCACTGCTAGTCACCATCCACCAATTGTATCCTAACATTTAGTAGGTATTTTTCCTCCATTCTCTTCAACACCGCAATACTATAGTGTCTTTGAACTTCTCTAAACAATGCTTTTGCACAGTTTACACTGTGACTTATTAAGTTGTCGCTATTACGGTTGACTGTTTGATCGACGTGTATGTTGATTTGACGTATATTTGTGTTTCCAAATTTCAAATTTACGAAGTTATGAACAATTGATCACTTGACAAGAAAGTTCCAATTCCAATTCAGTAAAGATGATCAATAGAGACGTAAATTAACAGCCAATCACGATAAAGGAAGTTGACAGGAGATACAATGAAATGTTCATTCAGAGAGAATTGAAACAAGTTGACTCTATATGAAAGCCTACGCTGAAGATGTTGTCTACAAGGAGGATTACGAAAGCTTCTCAGTTAAATCAGCCAGCTAAAAATGAACACGACTGGACTGCAAATATATTAGTTATTTCTTTATTAATACTGATAACGTAAAGCGGTCGTATGACATTCCATATCCCTACCCACCCACCCCCTACCTACAGTTACTTCTGCTTTCATCTAAAGAAGATTGATTAGTGAAATAGCACTGCGACAGCTTTCTTCAGTCGACAACTTCTCTCTTTGAAAATGAGAAGTCTTTTCAAGTTTAAAAAGTTCAGTATTCTTGCATTTCTGAAGCGAGGAAGGTGATCGCAGTTTTACAGATAGGTTTGCTCACCCTGCAGCAAACTTCCCCACATTTCTGGGCTTAAAACTACATAGTCAAGAGTAAGTAGGTTAATATGATGGATGTCCCCCGTCTGAGATTTGAACCCGCCCTACCCATGCTCATCAGCTGTTATCATTCTCTACAAAAGTATCTTCCAATGAAATAAATTAATCGATAAAAGAAAATAATGAAGGTCATTGCTGTTTTTATAGATTGCTTTTTTTGAAATCTTTGCATATATATATATATGTTTATATATATTTAAATTACACTTGGAGTAAGTAAGTTGTCAAACATGGGGCGAAAATTGCAGAACAGTGATAAAACAGGAAATTAACTCAACAATACACTAATATTCTTTTTTGTGTGCTTTTTTTGTATTTCAGTGACAAACCTTTAAATAGTTAATAGACAGTTAAGCTCTCTTCTTTTATTTTTCGCCGAAACATGACAGTGTGACTGTGATTGTAGGTGAGTAATTACGTAGGTAGGTAGTTAGTTAGATAGGAAAGTAGGCGGGTAGATAGATAGATAGGTAAGGAAATAGGCATAAGCTTGTAAGGCGGACATTAATCAAAACGAAAACAGAAAGAAAAAGAAACAATCAAGGAGACATGAAGACTGGCGACGGTAGCAGCAACAACAAGAACAACGACAACAATAGTAGGCTAATAACATTTTGTATGAGTAGTGTACGTATTGTCTCTACTTCATCAATATTCATTCACTATTAATTATCAATGTTGAGAAATGCTTTCCACTACTGGGTACTCAAAAGTGTACAGATTAATTTGAAAGAAAAAGAAAGAAGATTCTGCACATGGGAAATAACAATACTTGATTATCCCACTGGTTCATCATTTCTATTCACTTTGCGAAGATGGTATAACCACCACTACCACAGTCATTGACATTTGACATTTTTAAATGTCATAATACATGATGTGTCCGCGTATGTGCAAATATTATTTGTAGGTGTACATCAGAATGGAGATTCAACTGAAAGCATACTGTTGTGATCTTCAAACATTACTAACAAACAAAATATACACATTTAGAAGGAAAGAAGTAAAATCGATTCGACGAATGAATACAACACATTCAGTTATGCATAGTATCACTGTCAGACGATAGATAAGCCGAGGTATTCAAAGTCAACCAATTTTTGTTGTATTGAAAGGTCAACAAAGGAGAAGGAATAATGAAAGGCGAAGGCTAACGACTGTAGGACGACAGGATTGAGAAGACAGACAAAGACTCAAATATTAAGCACCACATGCGTTCTCCTCTAGTTGTGTGTATTTTTAAGTGTCTATGTGTATGCATGAGTGTGTAGACGTGAGCAAGAAGAATGCAGATGGACATCCAATTAACACATTACTAGGAGTAATAATAAGGTTAATCTAGGCAGTATTTTTCAAGCAATTCAATGAAAATCTTAATATTTTCTACATTAAAAGCAATGGTGATGATGTCATTAGATTATTATTGTTACTATTATTGTTATTATTATTAATAAGTGATAATGGTGGTGCAATATAATTGTTTCTCTGCCTTTTGTATTAATTTGCAGTTTGTCCAATTCTAAATTTGACAGGACGCCAACCGGATCCACTAGTGGTATTACTACTATTATCATTATTATTATTAATATTACTACTAGTCGAAGTATTGTTGCCTAAGCCAAATCCATTATTAAAATTATTAATATTAGTATTATGATTATTACTATTATTGACAGCGTTATTCAGTTGTCCAAATGATATACCTAAAATAAATCAAGAAAGAAAATGAAAACCGGTGAAAATCATTAAAAAGAATGTGATTAGTTAGTTTCTATCCGTATCGAAGTTATACATCTTAACATTGATGGTTTAGTGGTCACAGGGCTAGTCAGATATTCGCTAGAGGTTTGGGTTCAGTTCCTAGCTGACTCTGTGCTGAACATCGCCTATCCGACAGAAATGGTAGAACAGAGTATAGAGTGGCAGTGAAATCTCACTCTGCCTCAACGTCATCGAATTTGAAAAAGCCTTTTGGCAGCGTTGACTAAGAAGTAATTTGGAAACTGCTTTGACACTGAGTTCAAGGTCACAAACCTTTATCAGTCTCATTGAGCAGCTATATATATATAAAAGTAACCCACACCAAGCCATTCATAACAGAAGACTCAGAGATGACTTCGAAGTGAATACAGGAGTAAGATAACATTCCCGATTATTGGTGAACTGGCTCATGCGGAGACCGTGCTTGGGAGCGGGATGGCAGGACCGCGTTGAACAAGAAAGAGTACTTTAGAAGATATAAGAATAAAACTTGTGCACTGTGGTAGAGTGTAATTCCATTATGGGTAAATTTTGTTTGATAAAGTCTCACAGCGTTATACAGTAATGTTTACTGATGACGTTTCGAGCACAATTTATTGCTCATAATCATAACAAGGTAATCACACGACTTCCTAACTTCATTTATATAGTTCCATTGTTTTTCTCTTGATTTTCACTTGATTTGATTGGTAATAGTATTTTCCATATTTCAGGTATGAGTGATGAGTCATTCCTATTGCGTGTGTTGGGTGTAGACACGATGAACAAGGATTCAGTAATCAACCTCTCTCTCCACCTACCTAGATTACTTTTTAGAATTTTAACCCTCTCCCACCACCCTATTGTGTGGTTGTGTGTTAGCGCATGCATTGCAATTGCTGAGCTTTTTTCTAAATTACTTATCTTCTCGGGGTCAACCATTCTTACCTTAGTTAAGTAATTTAGAAAAAAGCTCAGCAATTGCAATGCATGCGCTAACAAACAACCACACAATAGGGTGGTGGGAGAGGGTTAAAATTCTAAAAAGTAATCTAGGTAGGTCGAGATAGAGAGGTGGTTGATTACTGAATCCTTGTTCATCGAGTCTACACCCAACACATGCAATAGGAATGACTCGTCACTCATACCTGAAATATGGAAAATACTACTACCAATCAAATCAAGTGAAAATCAAGAGAAAAACAATGGAACTATATAAATGAAGTTAGGAAGTCGTGTGATTACCTTGTTATGATTATGAGCAATAAATTGTGCTCGAAACGTCATCAGTAAACATTACTGTATAACGCTGTGAGACTTTATCAAACAAAAGTTACCCATAATGGAAGTACTTTAGAAGGTCTGGATTTTACGGGCAATTACTATCTAATGACACATAAATTCGAAGATCTACAGGTGAAAATCAGTAAGTTGGATAAAGAGGCTGGCGGCGGGAGCTGGACTTTAAGTGGATATGGAGAAGATGGAGGTGATGAAGATATCCACCAGCTAACAGAAACGAGCGTCAGGTACTATCAATGGGATTAACTTGAAAGAGGTCACTACTTTTACTCATTTAGACAACATCGTTCTAACTACAGGCAAGAAGATTGGAAAAGGTAGACAGATATTGATTACTGTGGAATCAGCGGGGAAATCTATTGCACTCGACGACAAGAACAAGTCACTACTTGCTTACGGTCTGTAGACTTTATGGGCCACGAAGAGCATTCCCGATAGGCTGCAGATTTCCTTTACCAATTGTCTTCGATAGCTGGTTAGTGGAGATCAGATTACCGGCCACAAAGGTTGATCGACAAGGAATTCTGGTAACAAACCAACCAAGGACCTAATGCCCATCAAATACGCCGAAGGAATAGAACGGGGCTCAGAAATGGCGAAGTGGGCATGGCTGTGAGGAGGATGTCAGCCATGGAGCTAGGTAAATAGGGCTACAAAGAAGCTAGTGCGATAAAGATGTGCTGCTAAAGCCGTGTTTTCAAACCAGAACCTAAAGGAGTAATAAGTCGTTCAATGTTCACTTATTTGATTCTACTGTTTTTATCATCCAGTTGAAACTAAGCGTCTAGCTGTGCTGTTAAAATTGTTTTGCATATTAGTCATACATTCATTAATGGGTTGCACTGGAATCCGTGACAAGCATTTTATTCTATGTAGAATTTATTCATTTATTGTCAGTGTATAGCGTCACTTCCACTGAGAATAGAACCAAACGTAATCATTTTCAAACGCTATAGTATTATTCACGAGTCTACTGGGGTTTGGGAGAATGTAACCAGTCAACCTGGCATTATTTTGTAGGTGGAGATTTTGATGTTCCTCCTTGGTGATTTATGTACGTACTACTATTTTGGTTTCTTGTCTTCTTTCATTGCCTACAGTGATATACCCATCATATATATGGTGCCTTTACACATGCTGCAAAACGTTACAGCAGAGTTTCTGACGGAACTTAGGGTTTTAATACCACATCGCTATTTTACCTTGTTCTCTGCAGACCTCTGTTACTGGGTGTTGATTGCACGTAAGCTTTCATTTCTTCCTCACATGAAATCCTTCATTTCATCGAAGGACTCCTAACCTGTGGTTTCTCATTCGGATTTCACTTCAGAAGTGGCCTGGTGCGTCCATCACTCAACATACTTCTCAACGTATGTCCAGTCCATCTCTGTGTGTGTACCTGATAATATCAAGCCAAAGTTACTGATAATGAGAGTTTGTATTTAAAAGTAATTAGAGTTTAAAAAGCACTTTTCTTAGATTTTTTACACAACAATGGAGACTTATTAAAGTAGATTTTACGGAGTGCTGAGTGCGCAAAACCTGTATCCTACTGATTCGGGGGAAACAATTAAAAAAAGACACACTAGTACTTACTACTGTTTGAATTAGCTGGTACAAATGGTTTCGGTGTAGGACCAAGTAAATTTTCCGATTGATTAGGTGGTGACGGTGCCCGGTCGACAGCCAATGAAATACTCGGTTTCTTATATTCATTTGTCTCTCCATTATTTTGATTTACTGGTATCGGTTTAACACCAGGAACTTGTTGTTTTAATTCCAGTCGTTGTGGTGATTTCGACTGTGGAAGTTTTGAAGTCATTTTGACATGAGCATAACTATTCATTGTTGGACCTGGACCAGAGGCTACAGCTACATTCATCTTGCGATTACCCGATTCATCATCTTCTGAATTTTGTGCATCCCATTTCAATGCTCTAGCATGACGTTTGGCGAACATTTGAGCTCCACGACTATCAGATTTATACAAAGCTGTAGCAATGTCGAAACATTTTTGCGGATCTAAATCTGAATGTGTATTTTTAGGGAAAATTTTTATTTTCTCTAAGAATTCTTGCACTGTCTTCGGTTGGCCTGGAGCATAATTCATTGGTGGCGGTTGTGGGATAGTCGGTTTTTTATTTGGTTGAAGACCTGGAAAACTTGGTGGTGGAGGAGGTGGATGCGGTGGTGCTACTGGAGGTGTCATGTACTCCAACTCTTCAGGAGTTGCCTTGAAAGCAAAGTAAAATACGGAGGTTAGTTTAAGTCATTCAGTCATTTAGCTGATTTATGAGTATAAAAGTATTTAGAAGTTAAATATGACATAATCTGCGTCTGTTTCAATTTCAAGCGGATGTGAATCTACTATTCATTTCTTGGCATTTCAAAGTTCTCTACGTATTCCGTTGTGGTGAAATTTTGACAGTAAAGTTTTCGTTTTGCATTAAGTCATGAACAAATTGAGTGTCACAGAAAAACTATAACACAAACCACACCCGCAGTTTGCGAACTGATTAAAAGTTTGGTATCAGTCAGGTTACATACTGTGTAAATTGCAAATTCCGACTTTTCAATTAAGTTATTATTTTCTATAGTTTAGTTTGTAAGGGTTAGTTTTGTTTTTACGAGTTGATCAAGGATCGAACCCGAGTAGGTGCGTACTGCTGATGTATCCTGAACTAGGATGAAACAGCTGGTTTTCAATGGTTATCTAACTGATACCAGTCTGTGATCAACTGGTTAGTTATTATTAGTTCGTCCAAGTAGCTAATCGGAAATCACGTGGTCTGAATTGATCCAGCCCTCTCAGTCTGATCAAACCAGGTATACAGACGATGAGTGAAATGGTCGTCCGAAGTTTAGATCATTCTGATGTGCCTAGCAAACATTACTGGCCAATGTGAGCGGAATAAAACTGCTCATTTCAATCAGACAGTAGTATATCATTTTATGCATTTAAATTAAAATAAAATTTTTAAATCAATCGGTTATTTACACAGCAGGCATCTTGATGTGCAATTTTACAAAAGTTTACTTTTGAAGCTTGAAATATTCGGGTCAAAATATGTGGTCTGCTCAATACTGAAAATGTTATCATCACAAAAGTATGCAACACAGACAACATGATAAATACTACCGACTTAAATCAATGGCGAGGGACATACTACGTCAACTAGTAGTAATACGTAGATCAGCATGAACTTATTAGGCTCATTGGGCTTCGTATACATGACTATAAACTTGTCTCCGAAAGTAGCTAAATGATCACCTATTGTTGATAGCAGTTCACTATAGTTTGGATATAATTTAGGGTACCACCTAGGCATTTTGTTCCATAGTGTATCATGAAAAGTTTGCTGCAACACACGTGTTGTCTTCTAAATCATCAAGTGCATACATCAAAATCAGTTCAGAGATTAACATTTAGCGTTTTTTCTCTAACACATTAAGAGTTTTTGAATCCATTTTCAACGACTGTGTGCAAATATCAGAAATCTTAAGTGGTATAAGAAGAGAACTTGTGTACTGTGGTAAAGTAAAATTCCATTTTGTGCAAAATTTATTTTGATAAAGTCTCACAGTGCTGTTGTACAGTAATATTTACTGCTGATCACCTTTAGAGCACAACTTATTGTTGCTCATAATCATATCACAGGTTACTTACACAACTTTCTAATTTCGTTTATATGATTCCACTTTATCGTCTCTTGATTTGATAGGTGATAGTATCTTACATATCTCTGGTATTTGCGTTGAGTCAGTTCTGCTGCATGTGTTGGGTGTAGACTCGATGAACCAGGCAGGATTCAGTAATCAACCTCTTTCTCTTTCCACCTACCTATATTACTCCTTTAAATTCTAACCTTCTCCCACCATCCTACTGTGTAGTTGTGTGTTTGTTAATGCATGCAATGCGATTGCTGAGTATTTCCAGAATACTTATCTTCGTACGATCAACCATTCTAGCCGCAGCTAAATTGTTATGTTTTGACAATCTAACTACTCCTGATCTACTAGTTTAACCTATGTAGTTGACTTAACTCACAGTCATTGAAAGGTATTTTGTAAACTGTATTATTTTGTCTAAATAGGTCAATTGGGTCCCATTAACCTACAGAGCTTGTCCCTGTCTGAGTGGGTTTGTTGTGGTGGTCGGGCTTGAATACCGCAATGACCCAACATGCTAAACTGACTGTGACTCTGTCCCTGTAGGTCCTACCATGTCAGGAAGGTTGTTTGGATAGCGGTTAAACTAAAAGCAGTTACAATGGGGTACATGGGCTCCAGTATCCAATCGGATCAAATGGCGTGTGAACCCATATGGGTCACCGGAAACCATGGGAATGCAGCTCCTGACGCTGCTCCGCTGCCTTGCGGATTAGACTCCAAGTCAAAGGCTTGGGAAGTGGTCCCTTAATAAAGCAATCTGCTTCGGTCTGGGTGCCCGGGCAGTATCTCAGCCTTCACACAATGAATTGAATGAAGCAACAAACAATCAATGAAACTTATCGCGTGCTATCACACGTGTTGCAATTTCCTTCTTTCTTCCCTTCCCTATGATAGTTAACGAATACTGTTTGAACTTGTTAAGCATGACTGTTTTTCTTCCAGATGAAGTTCTTTATTCGTTCTCTACTTCTCTTTCTCTTCTTTCTTTTTTTCTTTTGATCTGTGTTGTTTTATTATTATTGTGTGGCGCATCCTTCTTGGTGCCATATTGTACCAAGTTTCTATGCGTTTATATAATAAACAAATAATAAAGACAGTCTGTAGGTTTAAATGCCACTCTAATTCTTGCTTTATTATGAATCCTACGAAGGGTATTGGATGTCCCCTCCTTATATTGTAAAACTGTAGATGCCTTATTTTCTTTCTTATTTATGTTGTCATTATTAGTTTCACCATTATTTTTATTTTGCTTTTGGACTTTTATGATCTTCCTAATCAGTTTTATAGGATAGTTATTCAACACCAGTGCTTCACGAATCTATATTTTTCCCCACAATTGCAAAACGTTTTATTCGCTGCCAGCACTGGCAACTTCATTATTATGGTATTCCAGCTGAAGGAAATTTTCTTTTCGATGATTCATTTTCATAAATTGCTGTATAACCGTAGTAATATTTAACAAAGAATTGATAAGACAAATCAGATAATGGCAAAATTTTTCCTCGAAAATCGTATTACATAATGTAAGGGGTAGTCAAAAGGCAAGGTGACAAATTGGAAGTTGGAAAAGAGGCAAAAGTTGGAATGACGTAATTTCTCATCTACTTCTCCTCGAACGATCTTCCCCATGTCATCCTCATACAAACGACCCACTCGACACTTCCCATTAGTATTCCACTCGAGCATTAGCCTACATTGCGCGAAATGTCTTTGACGGCGTCTTTGCTCAATCTATCCCCGCTTTCTCCTACATATTTATTGAGCAATCGGTTCTTCGTTGGTTCACTGCCTCTCAGAGTTTCTTGTTACTAATTCTTTCTGGCTGGCTGGCCATTTGATCCTCAGTGTGGAGTCATCCAACGAAGTGGGCGGCTGTTGATAAAAGACTATAACTTGTAGGAAGTACTTTTCGTGACACACTGGTCAAATTTCTGATCCGCTCAGAAGAAGTGATCGATTGACTTCACATTTTGTGTTGAAAATTCGAATCTTGTTCTTTATGCTGGCTGGCTGATCTAGTGCAGACGATTTGCAAACTGGTTTCAGGTTGATGAATGTGTATCTTGCCTTTTCGATCCTGGCTGGCTGGCTGGTAAGCTTTGACATCTTCACCGCCATTACGCTTGTAGTCGAAATGATGCTTCTTAGACGGATAAGTGAAGAAAGTAACCCCTTTGAAATCTATCCTGTTGATGGCGATTGGTGCTGTAAGTTCAGCTGAATTCTCTCCTGTCTTCGCTGCCTCTCTCTGTTTCTTCAGACAGTTTGTTGGTTTTCACCTATAATTCTTCGAGTTTATGTGCCATTAGACAGAAGTCATCTGTGAAGTCCAGATCTTCTAGAGTCTTCTTATTGGTGGTCCAACGTATTTCTGTCTCCTCGCTCCCCATGTTCTTCTGCATAATCCATTCCGCCACAATTAAGGTGTAACCTAGAAGAGATGACTAATTGCAAGTTAGAAAACAGGCAGAAGTTAGCATCATGTAATAAATGTGAGAAAATGACTTATCAACATAATTGTGTACAGTGGACAAGAACAAGTGGAAAGGCGATAAAGTGGTCATTTATTTCTTATTTGCGTAGCATTAAAAGCTTTTCAAATCTGGTAGCTGCTTCAAAAATGTCATATCTATAATACCACAACCCTTTAATAGTTTTGTCTTATTAAAAAATCATATTCCATTCACATAATCTAAATAGACAGGCGATTTTCCTCTTTATAAGTAGATAAGTAAGGATGGACGAAATCTAGAAAAGACAGCTTCTATTTCAAAGAAAACTATCTTTATTCACCTAGCATTCATTTAAAGGTGACCAGATTATGCAGTTAACAGCTGAAATACTTCGTTAAGCCATCGAACGCACATTCGACGCCACCATCTCTTTCCCTCCTCTGCTGAACATTTTTTCTATCCCTGTACCTACGATTGAAGGGCGAAATTCGGTGGACTTCAAACTGGATGATGTTTAGTTCTTTCCCATAAAAAAACAAACAAGCGACAATATTACTGAATAGTACTCACTGATTCAATTGGATCTGGTTTAGGCTCTGGTCCTTCTTTAACATATTTTTCTGCTCTTTGTCGTTGTTTCTCAAACATAGATGCACCTTTTGATTCAAGATTATATGGATCGTGTAGACTGTTAGCAACTCGTCTAGCCATTGCAATTTGTTCTTCAATTGTTGGATAATATTTTGAAGGATCCGAATAGAATGATGAATCAGCATAATTCTTTTCTAGAAAATAGAATCAAACAAATTGTACTTTGATCACATAATATGGCCATGGCAGTTCTTATGTAAGATGATGACGGTGAGCGTATAAATTACGTAATTACTCATGATAATTATGTTCCAGAAACTAGCCAGAATTAAACGGAGAATATTTTACGCAACAAACTAATGTCTATCATTTTCTAGGCGACGAACGACTGAACTTAAACCAAGAATAAGCTAGGTAGTTTCACCATTTCCCTTTGAGGTTTGATAAAGGATAGAAGAAAAGCCACCCGAATCTCCTTTCTATCATATTTCGTGGAAAAATCAAAGAGGTCACAAGGCGATTCATTACATTCCACTGTATCTTTCCAATGGACCGTGTACTTGTCTACTGCGCATAATGGATAAGGCGGTTGGCATTCAGACATATGTTCGTACAGTTGTAAAAGGGGTGACTGTCGTGGCTTAAGTGGTCTAGGGGATAACACTTTGACCTTTGAAACGATGGATACGGGGTTCAAACCTCATTGGGAACACCATCATATACTGTGGAATGCAGGGACATTCAAATGAAGAGTCCCAAATAGGAAGAAATGCTCGTTATCCTGGATTCCACTGGTAGTCTCGATGACCGAAGTAAAATTTCGGATCGTGGCAGGATTCAAACAAGCAGCCTCTAAATTACTAGCCTGACAGCAATTAAACGCCTCTACTAAACAGATCTACATTTTATTGTAATCTTTATGATTCATGCTTAATTGTCATGCGAATAGATGATAAGTAACTATCCTTTTGTTAATAAAACAGCTATTTACTTGGTTCTTCTCCTCTTCAGTTAGAGGAAGAAAAGCTTGTCAAAGATTATTCAAGATAGTCTTACTAAGTCAGTAGGATTAAAATCGATGTGAAGAAGTCCTAACTGATTGGCTAGTGCGGTGATAGACAAGGTAACAGTGTTTTTTATTAACATGACAGCTGAGTATGACTGGCAAAGCCTGTGAAGAAATGATGTTTTGATTAGCAAATGTCTTATCGCTCATTTGCATTGTGAATTGTTCTTACTAAATGTCGAAGGCTATCGTCAGGAAACTTTATACCTAGGTTTCGGGCTTGTTGGAACTTGGCATCAAGACGTATCAGTAGTTTTGTAGGAATCTGTGACCCTTCTGAGATTCAAATTCGGATCACCTAATGCTGTTGTCACAAACGGTTAGCTCTGGGCTGTGTTAGTTTGAGATTCACCACCAAAAGGACCGCATCAAATACTTTGATTAGAGACTAGTTATTGACTAGTTTCATGTGTCGAGTCTTTGGTGTTGGTACAGACGGAATTCTCACCTGTCATCCGTGACATAAATTCATAGTTTGAAGTGATACTATATTTAAGAAATTAGTTGAACAGTGAACACTTTTCTCTAAGGAATGTTACGTCATTTCATATTGTATTTAATTTTAGTTAATAGTATGAATTCAGGAAAAAGGAAATGTTTCCTGCACAAGTCAGCTCTTTAATTTACAGCGCTGAAACATGATTGATACTCATACATGAAAAGAGTCGCTTCATTGAATTAATTGTTTTGATTTTCCACTCATAAATCTGTTGTGGAAGAGTAATTTTTAAGATAGCCACCATTATTGTCCCTCAATCTGATGAATGACATAAGCGTTGTAAAGGAATTTTTGTGTTATGATAATGAATAGGGCTATAGAAAATAATTAAAATCAATCTGTCTGCCTACAGATGGTCCTGCGTTTACCATTGGGAGTAGAGACGGTAAGAAGTAAACTGATAAAATGTCGAACATTGACTATTAGCTGATTTGATGATATCATTACCATCCCTATGAAAGGAAATAGCATCCGATAGGCCAGCTAGTTAACAATATTGTAAGATGATGGGGAATATATAAAATTGTGCTACAAATTATAAACATTGAGAAGAGAGGGGTTGTGAAGATGTTCAGCCAACAACAACAACAACGACAAGCACCAATCACCATCAGAGGGGGGGTGGGAAGTCCAGATGAAACTTAAATTATTACCTCACCTGGACAGTATCGTTTCAACTACAGTCCGCATAGGTGTCGATGTCAAAGCCAGGGTTGTAGAAGGAAAACAGACCCATATTACTCTGCCGTCAGTGTGGAAATCTACTGCAATCAGCATAACACTGATATGAAATCATTTGCTTCTATACTGACACGCCGACTTCGTACGCGTTATCAATGGCATATCCAACAGTTACCTGTAGATCTTCATCAAGACCTGCTGTCATTGCATACTGAAGACCAAATGGCTGGTGAGGAAAGACAAGCAACAAAGAAGTCTGACTGTGAAGCGACCAACCAGCGAAAAGCCTGCCATGAAAATGACAAATCTGCAAAAAGAAATTGAGGTGGATTGAACATAAGCCGTTGAAACAATTGAGTGTGTCCTATGCATTTCTATTTCCCTTAGAATATTTCTTGGGCACTATGTTTTCGGTCGCTTCATTGACAGAGTTTCCTGTTGCTTATTCTTTCTGACCAGCCATCTAATCTTCAGTATGAAGCGAAGTTCGGGAGTATAGCCTGTTGGAAATGCTTTTTGTGACAAGCTGAATCGCTCACTCATTTAGAAGAAATTAATTAACATAGGTTTTGGAAAATTAAATGTTGTTCTTTACGCTGGTTGCCGAAGATCTCCACACTGATTTCAGGGTGTTGAAGCTCTGTCTTACGTCTTCGATCCTGCCTTTAAAATTCTCATTGGTGCTGCTTGCAGTTGGAATGATGTTATCTCAAGATAAGTGAAACAAGTGACCACCTTCAAATTTCTCCCGTCTATAGTGATAGGTGATTATTGCTGTTAGTCGGTGGTTATCTTCATCGCCTCCCTATTCTCTATGTTCACTTCAACTCCAACTTTTTAATTCTGCCTTTTCTGTCAAGTTGTTAGTTTTCGGCTACTAACTTTTGAGTTTGTGATATAAGACGTAAATCGTCCACGAAGGTAAATTTTCTACTGTCCTCTTATCAGTCTAATGTATTTCTGTCTTCTGGATATCCACAGTGTGCCGCATAAGCCAACCCGCCCCACTTAGGTATACCATCAATGATAGTAGGCAGGCAGTGTTATCTTTCTCTTCTTTTCACTTGAAAGGCGTCAGTGAGATTTTCTTTATCGATCATTTGACATGTGGCATCGTAATGTGGTTATTGAATGAAACCGACGAAGTTTTACTCACTGAACTCTTTCGAGCTGAAGCAGTTTCCCTCTAGTGGTATCCGTATACGGATAGATAGACAGTTTGGGTGTTCAAGAGTGAATTGAATGAAATTATTCGAAGAGGAAATGAGCAGTTATGGAGCAGCCTAAAACACACTATTGCGAACCGAAGGTACAGGCCATGTAGCGCTGAGAATCAACGGTCCACCAGGAACCCAAAGGATGAATAACAAATAAACAATATGTGACAAGTTATAAGAACGTTTTACTTTTTTTCTGATAACTTTGAAAAGGACACTCACCAAAGTAGTATGTACATTATTTTATGGGATGACTTAGTGTTAACTTATTCAATCTAGGTTTCTTATTGACATTCTACAACTTATCCCAGGTAATTTACATGAATTATGAAAAACCTTCTTGCAGTCTCTAACTGTAAGCTTATTATTACCACTAACCCTTAAGTCATTTTTAACAATAGTAGAAAGATTAAAGGAAGGTTTTCATTCAGTATTTATTCAAAAGTGTCGGTAGCACAGTGGTTAGGACTCCCGCCGACTATGCACATGGTCCGGGGTTCGAGCACCCGCCGACGCACACCTGATATCTATGGTCGGCCTGCGAATTTCGGGCTACCGATATCCATGCTGAAAATTCCACACTTGTACCAAAAATAAGGTGTGGAATCAAGCTGTAACCATAAAAAAGTCGAGAAAGTTATATAGTACTGTTGACAGTTTTCAAAATATAAAACAGAACTATAGCTCTACTAGCCTTATTCTTCCATACATTTTTTGGATTAATATCACTGTATAAGAAGGAGGACAGTTTTGAATTTACTCAACTCCTAAACAACTATTTATGAATAAATATTACCAGTTACTTACTTTTTAATTCAGGTGCTATCGGTGGCACATCAAATTCTCGCATCAATTGTTTCACTGAAACACTAGCTACATCTGGATCATGAGGAATAATATGTGGATCAATAGAAGGTTGTTTCACAGGCGGTGGTGGTGCTGGACGTACTGGTTGTGGTTGAGGTGCTGGTGGTGTTGGAATCACAACTGGTCTTGGAGGTGGAACATGTATAGAAACTGAATGTGACTTCGCTGTAGGCGGTGGTGATCGTGGAGGTGAAACATACTGTTGTGGAGGTGGTGGAGGCCAATTTCTACGAGCTGGTTTCAGCGGCATCCCTTTCTCCCAAAACAGTTGTAATTCAGTTGTTGTGATCTCTTGAGGTATTTGCTTAGAACGTAGAGATTGATTGTCCAGATAAACTGTTTCTATCTTTTGATGTCGCTCATATCTTTAAATAAGAGCAAGTAATTGAAAAAAAACATCATAAAACATTGTGAATTTTCTGAGTACAACGGCAACTGAGATACTTTATAGTGTTTCTGAAGATATGCATAAATGGATGACGAGAAATAATCTAAGAATAAACATTTTTACAGGGCTCTAGATTAATTCCAATGTAGATTTCAGTGCGAGTCAACATCATTCAGGAAGATCTTTGGAAACAAGTAGGCACTGGATGGCTATTTCGCCTCAGTTTGTGGCTCTTCAACTGCGTGCACTCATGATCATATCAGGGATCAAACCTGTGACCTTCAGGTTAATTTACGAGTCACCCACCGAGTGTGGCTTGGTAACTTCAAAGTTCCACGTTGAATCACTGGCACGGTTGTGGGCATATATAATGCTGGAGAGTCCTAAACTAGTACAAGATGGTTGTCCACTCCTCCTTGGTCTTTAGTGATTCTCTCATTTTTATGTTGTTGTTTAGCAGAGGACAATATAGGGTCTATATCAACATCAGGCCATGGCTTTCTTAGGGTATTTTATGGTCTGTAAACGAGAGTCCACATAAACAACTCTCCAGTGGTATGAAAAATTTAATATGAAGTTTCGAGGATTAAAAGTTGTTATATGTTAGCTACAAAAACATTCTGAAGTATTTATCAATACTTATCAATAGGTTTTAAATATTTGCACAACTGTTTATATCTTCCCTATGCAAGTTGAGTGCCTGAATACCTTCCGGCGAATATCTATTTAATTCATAATCCGTAGTGAACACAGTTTAAGGGATGAAAATTTCACCACAGTTTCCTTCAGAAAACAAGTTACTCTGATCACAATATATGATCTACTTCAAACCATAAATGGTATTCAAGAAAACAAGCACCACTCCGTTAAACTACATACTAGTGATTGATTCAGATGATTCCTTAGTTATATACCACGCATATTAGCCTGTAGTGCTTTCTAACCAACCAGATCGAGGTGATCTTAACATCGATCTGCCATTTCGATCATTTCTGTGGGGGGGGGGAGGACAAGCTCATCAGTGGTTTATCAAAATTTTGGTGAGCTTATAGAGCCAAATCACAATTCAAATTACGCGATTTCTGTCTAGCTACTTGAGAGAAATCGTAACATTGTAACAGCAGAAGGCAAGACATGGAGGCCAAGGTATATTTTCAGGTGATCAAACCGCTGTTTACGTTCTGTAACCAACTATTGAGCCTGTGATTTTGGCGTATATTAAACAACATGAAATAGAATGTTCAAATACATTTAGTGTTCTGCGAAGCGGCTGTAAAATCGCATTTATGTATATATGTGGTTTATCAAGATTAGACAATTACAATCAGGTAATACAAGAGTACGTATCAGACATCTTCAAACTGAAGAATGGATTGCGATTCACTTGGTAAGTCCTGAACTCTGCATACAGAAGTTCGTTCAATCACTACACTTGCAATGGACGTAGTCTATCTTGATACCCAACAGGTAAATTCTTCTTCTCTCTGTCGCTTCATTAGTATAATTTTGTGTTTTCAATTGTACTATTTTACATTTTCAACCTTCCCGTTCTCTACCCCCATCCGATTTAATTTCTACACCTCACTACCACTGTTACTGACTTGACCAACGCTCAATTTCTGGTCATTTATGTTACGTCATCTAATTTATTTACTCAATTGTAGTACCAATCTAAATAGCATTATTCTCCAGTCCACCTCTAATTAGCCTCTACCTGCAATTACCCCTGTTGCTATCCTAAGTTGAAACAATTTAGTAAATTATATTACGTCATCTAACTTACTAACTCAATCTTACTTTAGTTGCTGTCTGATTAAGCTTGTTTCTATATTAGATCATTCTTGTATTACCTGATTAATTATCTAAACTCGACAAACCTCATGTACGTACACACAAATAATTATATATAAATGCGATTGTACAGCTATGTGAATGAATTCGCTGTCGAAAAGAGTCTCATCGCTGAAGGTTTTCTCTTTTTCAAATAATTATCCGTTTTAAAGCTTACTTGCTTCGAGGAAATGAAATTTTTCACCACAGTTTTCATCTCCTCTTGACATGACCTCCTCCCTGTCACCCCACACTCGCACTGACGACCAACACACAGCTTTCCGCTTGGTTTCCACTCGAGAGCCTGTCGTGTGATATAATAAACTATGCTGGTGTTTGGATCATTTCTATTTGGCTGGTTAGCAAACACTACTACTGGTTGATATCAGTAGTATCCAGCTACTCACCTCAATTAATCAGTAGTATTTAGTTTTATGAGAATATTTAATGAAATGAAGTAAAAACCGGTTGTCTGGTAGTGTAAGCTGAATACCCTAGAAGACTGTAATTATTAGGTATGAAAATCAATGGGAATGATGAGAAATTCCAGTAGTACGTTATGCTGTGAGAAGAAAGGACAATATAATCTGCTATAGCGACGACAGATAAACGACCGGCAGCAACAACACCTAGCACCAATCACCATCAACGAGAGAGATTTGATACGGGTTAATTCCTTCATTTATATGGCTAGGGACCACGGTTTCAACCACAGCCAGCTGAAACAAATGAAGATGTCGAACCCAGCAAGACTCGGGAATGCGAGAAACGCCTTCATCAACCTGAAACCAGTTTGCAAATCATCTGTACCAAATCAACCAGCCAGCACAAAGAACACGATTCGAATTTTCAACACAAATGTGAAGTCAGTTAGCCAGTCACTTCTTCTGAGCGGATCAGAAAATTGCCCAGCGTGTCAAGAAAAAAATTTCCATCAACCCACTTCAGACATTTATCAACAGCTGGCTTCACTTGTTCCATACTGAAGATCAAATGGCCAGCCAGGTGACCAGTCAGAAAGAATTAGCAATCACAAACTCCGGTTGGCTGGCTGGGAACAAACCAACACGCAAAATTCGACTGCTTAACAAATATGTAAGAGAAAGTGGAGATAGATTGGGAACACGTTAAAGAGGCTATCGAATGACACCGCTCGCAATGTAGGCAAATGCTCCAGTAGAATCCCAAATGGAAAGCGACGAGTGGGTCGTTGGTATGAGGGTGACATGGAGGAGATCGTGTGGCAAGTTGTAGGAGATGACAGATTATGGGGAATTGTGGAGAGATCATCAGGAAACAGAAGAAAGTGGAGATGCGTTGAAGAAACGCCCGGTGTTCCACTCAGAAACGAAAGGAATAATAATAAATAACAGTAATTTGCGATTGTACAGCTTGAGAATGATTTCTCTGAAAACAGCAACTCTTTTGCTGAACGTTTTTTTCTTTTCTTCAACTCAATGACAATTTTCAAGCTACTTTTGCATTCTGTCTGTTTATGTAAACTGAACACTCTGGCAGTCTTATAATGATTGTAATTGAAAGTCATTGGGAACCGTGGGAAATTCAAACGGCACATGACATTATGGAAGGGAAGAACAATACAGGCAGTTATAGAGACATTATCAAGCTTATAACATTCCCTGTGACTTTACAGTTGCTGTATTCAGACAACAAAATTAAAAGCAGTAGTTTCCTTACACTACGGATGATTCATCAATATATTCGGTTATTGTAAAAAGATAGGGAAATAAAACACACGGAATACGCACGATGGTATTTTTTTCCCTGTAGCAACTTAATTCGCTTAACAGCATCTTATAGAGAATGCAATTTAGCACACACTTAGCCATATGGTCAAAAGCTATTTTAGCGAAAGAAATCATTTAATTAGTTAATCGCATTAAGAATCTTTCCGATAATGATTTAATAGATTTTTACTTTTATTTATGAGACTAATTATATCTACCGCTAGCATCAGTATTAGCAGATTATGCAAGTAATTGATAGCAAATCAATGCACAGATAGGGCAAAATACGTGTACCGTATTTTTGGAACCTCCATATTAAGCTTTTTTTTTGCCTTCCTTTGATGCTTTCTATATGTTGTTGTTTCGCAAGCATCTTTGATGTTTCCTCTTCAGGGTTTAAACTATCCAACTGCTACTCATTATATTTGCAGGAGACATTACTTACATGCAGTGTGCTACTTATTTATTTCTTTACTTTATTTTGATTATAGCTTGAAACCACACAGTATTTTTGGAAGAAGTATGGAATTTTCAGCATGTGATATCGGTAGCCTAAATTTTGCAGACCGACCATTGAGATATCAGGTGTGTGTCACTAGGGGATCAAACCCCAGACCATGTGCATGGTAGACGAGAGTCCTAACTGCTGTGCCCAACGACTCACAAAGTCTTATCAATAGAACTTGTTACAGTGGAGTATTTCAAAATAAGCAACTCAAAGACTTGGTTTCGTGTCGGTAGGTAGACATGAATTACATTAGGTGAGGTTTTGTTTGCGTCTTTTTTTTCGCTCTATACGTAGCAAAAAATAAACATATTTTGAACATTGGTTATCCTTAATAAACAAAATAAATTGCTTTGCAATTGTGAAAATAAGTGGATATAAATATTTTCGTAAAACAGAAGTATCCGAGCTGTTAAAAGTTATTTTTGATTGAGCACTAGTCAGTCAGTGACCAGTGTAATTTGTCTAGTCTTACCTTTCATGTAGACTGAATTCTGTCAGTCAATTTTGCAATTTGTCCACCATGCCACTAGGTGTGTCTCCATCACAGTGGAATTTGAATTGTTGATATATACATGATTGAAGGCGATCATCAGGTAGCTTTGGACTTATTTAGCACTCATCAGCAAGGTGTACCTGCAACCATCAAGGAACTCCTGCAAACTTGACTGATAGAATTCAGTAAACACCAAAGGTAGCATGAGACACATTACACTGGTTGCTAACTAGTGTTCAACGAAAAAGAAATATCCAATACAGTCGTACAGGAAATCAATCGCGAACCTGAATAGCTCAGTGGTAAGGTCTTTGACTGCATGACTTAATGACACGGGTTCGAATCTCAAAGAGGACAGAAGTTCCTTCAAGATTGCTCACACGCCTTACTGATTGGAGAGTACCAACTAGCACGAAATCTGGGTTGGTCTAGGCTCCCTGCCGATTGACTCCAATCATCCAATATCAATTATCAAAAGTTAATCAAGCGATAATAAAAGATAACTCTGATTAGTTTACATCAAACCGTGTAATATTTCGTCACGTGAATTGGCAGAAGTTGGAAATCATGAGCTACTGGATTGAGTCCCTTTGGTTGAATCGTCTTTGGACTCGCCTTATAAATAGAAGGCCTTAGGTTCGAGCCCTGACAGTGTATTTTTACGGCTAATATGTCCCAAACACTAGGACAAAAGTACTTTCCAGTACTCCCTGGTTTTTCAGTGGTTATCTGATTGATGTTAACTCATCATCACACTTGAAGGTTGATCAGCAGTTAACACAGGACACATTTATCCACAGATTCCTTCGGGAATCAAAACTTCTCAGGTCACTACAACAAATGATCTGCTTGATATCGTAAATGATGGTCAAGAAGACAAACATTTTTTTATGGTTACAGCTTGATTCCACACCGTATTTTTGGTACAAGTGTGGAATTTTCGGCGTGGATATCGGTAGCCCAAAATTCGCAGGCCAACCATAGATATCAGGTGCGCGTCGGCGTGGGCTCGAACCCCGGACCATGTGCATGGTCGGCGGGAGTACTAACCACTGTGCCACCGACGCACACATGAATGCATACAACTATATACTACTGTTTGGTTGAGATGAGTAGTTAGTCGTGTACCTCAAATATCAGCTAGTAGTGCGTGCTAGCAGCCAGATCAAGGTGATCTAAATGCCTGATAGTCTTTTCGTTCTTTTTGAGGCCAAAATCATCAATGGTGTACTTAGTTCTGATCTGAGAAAGCCGAATTAGTCCAAAGCATCTCATTGCTGTCCAGCTACTTCGACGGACTTATTCAAGCCTGATACAATTCTGATGAGTGCTGCCCCGAACGATCCAAATGGTCATTTAGTGCTTCGGTCACTTCTATCTCTCTGCCTAGCAAGGGCTACTGGTAGATGTAAGTGGTGTACAGATAGTCATCCCATTCAATCAGTAGTATACATTTTAACGCAAAATAGTGTTGTATGTTTTCAGAAGAAGTAGTCTGGCTTTAAATTCCTGTTTGAATTTTTATAAGGTTTTTGTTGACAGAAGCTTACGACAAAAACCATAACAGTCTTGTCAGTTTACTTAAAGAGTGCTATGTTCTTCCTACTAGGCAGAACATTTTCTGTCAAGGTCAAAGGCATGATAAATAAAACGTTTGTAGTCAGTTTCCTTGTGTTGAGGTCATTCTAGTGTTTTGAAAGATTTAGTGATGTGGGTTTGCTAATTCCATACCCAACTCTCCGTCTTTACGCGGGCTTGGAACCGGCTACAAAACTAGCGAGCTAGGTAACTAGGTCTGAAAGAATTAGCAACGAGAAACTATGGCTGGGAACAAACCAACCAAGAACCGATCGCTCAGAAAATATGTAGGAGAAAGTGGAGATCGATGGATCGGGCATACACTGAGGAGGCCACCAAACGACATCGCACGCCAGGCCCTCGAGTGGAACGCAAACAGGAAGCGATGAGTGGGTTATTGGTATGAGGGTGACGTGGAGGAGATCGTGTGAGGAAGAAATGAGATCGTTTGGTCAGTCGTGGAGCTGGCCAGCTGAAGACGACGACAGAAACCACAACAAAGTTGAGATGTGTTGTTGAAGCCCTATGTTTCCGTCGCAACGCAAGGTAATAACAAAAATATTAATAATAAAAGTCAGTTTCCTTCATTAATCACAATACTAGCCACTCGGAAAATTTTGTTTGACAAATTCATTGACCTTGACAGTTAACATACCTGCCTACAATCACCTCCAGTGTATATGATGCAAAATCAATAATCTGTACAGCTTGTGCATGTGACATATCCAATGCATCTGCACCATTAATCGCCAGCACATGATCACCTTCACGCAATCCTGCAGCTTCAGCTGGACTACGTCGTCTTATCTACATTCCAAAATTTAAAACAAAAAGAAAAAAAGTACTCTGTTAAAGTCACTGTCATAACAATTGAAAAAAAAACAGTTGACACAGTCAGTAAGTGTAGGCTGTTTATGGTGAGAATTCTTAGATTTTATGCAGTATACTGCGTAAGTTTAGGTAAATGTCAGTTAGTATTGACAAAGGTTTATAAAAACGTACTGTAGCCTAAATATCTACCTTTTTTAAACTTACAGTGATCCGCTGACTGTCTTCAGCTGCCTTACAACAATTTGAAGTGAATTACCATTGAGAATCTCCTTGCTTCTTGATAATAACAAGAATAATAGCTTTATTCGAAAAACGGTACTTTTGGTACAAATATGGAATTTTCCATAATAATTTGGTAATTTGCTGCCTTACACTTTTCTCATCGCATAAAGCGAGTGCTAAGTAAGGTATTGTAGAGTTTTTGTACTCAGTCGTCCAAGCACATAGTCTTCCATAGTTGCTTCCACTTCCCCTACCTGAAGAGATGCAACAAGGAGAGAGTTGTGTGTGGAGAGGATGTTCAGTGTCTGACAGAATAATATTTGTCGAGTGATTATGATTGCTCAAATGAATACAAGTCGACAGCAAATGTGCCACTTCTGTGTGAATTGCTTGACTAAATTGCTCATGTGGAGAAAGTTGTATAGCGCGAACAACTGGACAGCTCAACACACGTATTACTCAGCATCTTTATTCGTATTTCGAAAAAAGTCAAATAATATTTATAAAAAGTTCTATTCCGTAACATTTGATTGGTGACAATGGTCACTCAACTGAGACAGAAAAGGTGCCTTCAAAGTTAATTATCGCATTCCATCATACCTTCCGAACGGAATTCTCATCCACCTCTTATTCACAGCAGAAGGTATGAGAATTAACTCGAGAGAACAATCCTAGTCTTTGCATACAAAGTAAGTTTATTCTAGCATTGTCTCTCCTTTAGTCTAGGTAACGTCCAATTAAAACCCTCCCATTCTTTCTTATTTTCCATTTCATCCGTACTTCTATGATATTTATTAAAACTCTGATTATCTGTCCACTTCACTTTTAGTATTACGTAACTTTTAAGATTTGACCTAATCTATTTGTTGAATTGTCTACATATACACGTATTAATACATTCGTTATTCTTAACGCCATCTGCATTTACCTTATTGCCATTATTTTTGCTGTCATTATAATCCCCGTTATTACTGTAGTTATTACTATAATCTTATCCACAAACCAACCGTCATTGGGTAAATTTTTAAAAGCCGAGTGAATTAGAATGATGCGATACTCCATCCAATCAAACAAAATCCCTACAAACCAAAACTTGAAAATTAACCTGATGCTGACTAGCGACTGGCCCTATTTAGGCAGTTAACCTGGGATTCTAGTGGCAAGCCGTGACCAGTAAGGCACAGCGGGTTGAAAGTGAGGCAGTACTTCATCGAAGAAGACATTGGGAAATTGTCGCGCTATGTCGTGAATTGGCAAAAGTTAGAAACTCGTGGGCTAGTGGATCGGGTCCCAGTGGCTCAATGGTTTAACAGCTAGCTCGCCTTGTAACCAGAAGGTCCTGGGTTCGAAACCCGCCGGTGGGTGCGTAGTGCCGAAGAGTCCCAAACTAGGACGAAGCAGATGTCCAGTACTCCCAGGTTTTCCAGTGGTTGTCTAACTGATGTTAGCTCATGGTGAAATCCTCCATCAATCAAACAAAACCTCTACAAAACTAATACTTGAAAATTAGAATAAAGCCTGAAAGAGATCTGACTGAAAATAACAGCATTGCTTGAATATGTGTAGTTTTCTAAGTCTACAGACGGACGCCGAGGAAGATGATTGTAAGTTAGATGTTACTGAAAAATGCCTGAAGAAATGGCTGCTACCAAAGTTTCATCAAAAAATGGGACAATAAGGAATGTAAAAGTTGAGGTTTTAACTACAGTAGGCAGGAAACTGATTTTAATTGAACTTGACTTCAAAGGTGATTATATTATGAAACCGCTGACGAGAAGGTATGTACGAAGCAAAACTAGCCTCACCACTCCAAATATCCTCCTTTTTGACACAGTCAAAAATCGACAAGCATCCCTTATATGTTACCTCCAATTAATTCGGATATAACTGCTACAGCAATTTGGGTTCATCAATTACCAGCCACCTCACAGACATAGAATACACATTGGATGCACTGGGAGTATCCAGGGTAATTAACAGATAAAATAGCCCGTTTTTATCGGTTCGCTAAGGCTTTAACAATGAAATGAAAGAAGTCTGGCCCATATGTACATAAGAAATCCGTTCTAGGAATTCAATTGCCCCAGTTACTTTCATTCTAGTAACTCCTTGTATTCTGATCTAATCAATTTGTCTGCACTAAGTTTTGTTCCATCTCTGTTGAGATCTAATCTGGGTCGAATTTTTGTTCTGATTAGATTGTTATGTTTTGGTGATAATTTGAAAGAAAATATTCTAAAGTTAGATTTATTTATTTATACGTGCAAAGACGATCAGTTTACTTGATGTAGTTGTGTTATCTGAACTGGATGGTTGATTTGTGACCCTTTCATTACCCTAATAGGCAATATCTTCGGCGCATACTTTAGTTTGTTGAACTGAGCTTTTAGATTTCTTCACGAGTTTATAAATCATCTCTCTTGGTGACCTTGGTCGTGATTAGTTGTCTTTGTGTGCTTTCATACTCTCTAGGCTACTTGTATTCGTAGTGATTTTTTACTTGACGTGAAGTTTGACTCTTCGTCTGTGAGATTTTCTTCTGATCGGTTGGCAGATTTAGTCTATCTCGATGTGTCTATTGATTGATAATTCACTAGAATACCAGGCTTCTAAAAATTCTCTAGCATTCTTGGTGTTTCCTCTGTCTAATATTTCACCGTTGGTTGTCCCAGTTGAATTTATGCAGAGATATGGGGGGACGTTATGTCTTTTGATGGGTAGTTTGCGTTCATGGACGTCCATTTTGGTCAATGTAGTGTTTTTTGCAGTCGTTGCAACTTATTTTGTAGATGATGTTAGTTTTATCTCCTTTACCTGTTGAGCCAGCTGAGTGAAGTGATTTTATGGTTTGTGTACGACGTGAATTTATAAAGGTTTTAAGAGCCTTGTAGTGACTTTTGAGACATCCTTTATAAGTGATAGGGCAATTTTCTTTGTACTTTCTTTGGTGACCTTTGATTTGGTAGGTTGTTTTGGGGGTAAATATCTTTTGATAAAATTCCGTGGTTATCCATTCTTTTGGAAAACATCCATGAGATAGGAGTGCTGCAATAAATCCTGGCTGTCTTGGGTAGTGTTGGTCCTCGATACCACCTGAAGCTGATTAGATTTACAAGTCTTACATTAGTTCAACTGAACTGTAAGAAGCAATTAAGTGAGATGCTTCCAGCTTCTTTTTGAGCCTTTGTTGACCGTAAGAGGTTTCGTTTTCTGGCTTATGAAGCACAACTTCACGATCTAAGACAACTATTCATAGCAAAAATTACTTGGTGAGCGAAGAAATGTTCTCCCCTTCAGTTAGCTCCTCATCAGTTGTTCTACACTAATATATATATATATATATATATGCATCGAAATTATACCAGTCAAGCCGTTATGTTAGTCGATAGGAACTATCACTTTTAATGTATGCAAAGGGCGGAAATCACTGATTAACATCTTGAAGGCAGTTAATCAGCAGCAGATTGTTAGTCAACAACCAATATAAACTTTGGCGTCTAAGAGAGGCGAGAATAATTATGAAATTCAGTATCTGTTTATTTGTTGGCGTTAGCAACTATCTATTACATGTAGCTTAATTCAATCACTTTGTCTAAACAACATGGGTGGTATCCGAAATTCGACAGGGAATTCGCCTAGTGACACACCCAATACAGCTGTCTACAAAAGAGCCATGAAACTGATAAATACACACTATCGGAGATGAACTAGACAGTTTGTCTTCACTTCTTGAAACAAGTATTGGCTGTTTTGAATGGAAACTACTCACTGACTAGTGTGACGTGTCCAGTCCTTTCTTTAGTGCAGACTGATTTCTGTCAGTCAGGTTTGCAATGTGGCCACCATTCTAGGTAGCTCGCCATCACTGTGCACATTGACTTTAATGATATTAGATAGTTGGAGGCGATCGGCAGAAAGGCTGCCGAGGACTAGACATATCACACTAGTTACTAGTGTCCAATCAAAGTACCCACTACAGTCTTACAGGAGGTCAATCGCGAGCCTGAATAGCTCCTCATTGGTAACGTCTCTGACTGCATGACTAAGTGATACGGGTTCCAGTCTCAGGGGGGAGATGAGTTCCGTCGACGTTGCATATACTCCTTGCTGACTGGTGAGAGCCAGCTAGCACAAAACCTAGGTCAAGCAAGGCTTCCTGCCGATTGCCTCCAACTATCTAGTAACAAGTATTAGTTGGCTAATGAAAACATCAACAGTATATATATAACTTAACTACCCTGAAAATCCTTTCGAAAACCTTTCTCTTTCATTGTGATACAACCTCGCTATTAACAACCTTCATAAAATTCAGTCTTAAGAATACTGGATTCTTTTAGGAATTGTAGGTATATTGAACTTTTTATTCGCTAAGTCTGAACAATTTGAAGAGCTAATATGAAACATGGTGTTAGTTTTTTCTGCTAGTCTTCTTATAATACTTTTATATACTTTTGTTTAAATGCAATAAACCAGTTCAGCTGGATGGAGAGATGCATTTCGTCTCTATCTGGACTACCCTTGAAACCAACTCATCTTTGTCCTAGAACAATCACATGAATCAAGCAAGATGTATGTTTTTGATAAAGTCCAATGTGAAAGTTAATTGGAGAAGACACGATTTAAGATTTTATCACCAAAATGCTAATAATAGTTATAATCTAGTAATAATCATTAATGAGTTGATAATAGTAGGTAAAAATATTCAGTTCTAAGATTGTTCTCCCTCCAACAAATATTTCTTAATATTATTAATCTAATTCTTTTTAACTTAATAGAGCTATTGAACACCATATGAAGGTTGATCATGGTGTTCACGAGTAACTGCTCCTTGAATAATCCCCAACTTTAACTGGTGTCATTTATGGTAGAATAAAGTGGCTCAATGAAAATATACATTTTCAGGTTGACTACTGATGACAACATTCATTTCATTAGACGTCCTGATGACTATGTGTACCAGCACTCTTGAATCTTTTAGTTAAACTCTGCCAGCAGATCTTCCCGTGGATATATCACACTGCCCCAATCAGTCTCAAA